ACGTGTGCTACAGGACAGTACATAGTAAGATATTTATGAGCAGTGCTTAGACTTGCAGTACTGATGAAATATTCATGAGTTCTGACTGAAACATCCCTGTTTTACATTTAACTGACTAAAATTACCATTTATCGAGAAGAAATTAGTTGAATATATAGGATTCCAATTAATGAAGGATATAATACATTTACATTCAAATTTACTTCTTTCGGTTTACGTCCAAAGCATAAATGTGATCTCAGTGTTAGTTCCACGTATTTCTTGTTTCGCGATTACTTACTAGAGTGGCTGTCCTCTAGTCCTAAACTGTAAATATATTTGAAGGTCAAGTAATTTGCCTTTAGAAATAAGTACGCGTGCAAGACTCAATTTCTCACATGTATTGAACTCCAGAAACTTCGTTTTCTTATTGAACTTCAACATCATTGTAAGAAGCAGTGCTTATCGTCATCAGCTCAATTTTTTCCACTTCTTATATATTCAACAAAACCTACTAGCGATTGCTTGAAACTTACAGTCAGGCATTTATGGTTATTATATGTTGATGATCACATATAAAGTTGTCATGTTTTTACTTGTAACATTTGGGTTATGCTCTAGTCTATTATTGTGCTGCCAAATAGTAATAGGACTAAGTGAGGTGTTCAATCTAGTAATTTTCATAGGTAGCTTGTGTAAACTGTAATAGTCATGACTAGATCAGAACTGAATACTTTGTTGAACTGAAAGCTCAGAGTTATAGCTTTCACTTCTATATATAGTCTTTTCAGAATCTGAAAAACATTATTATAATGTTCGCTGAAGAAGAGCAGATTTCCATTATGCAGAGCCTATGGGAACGATCTGAAAACTTCCAAGCCAGCTGTTGGTATTGAGGACTAGTACGGAGAGCATAATATGGTTACCCCTCATATCACACTAACAATTTTTGTTCGTATAAAACATTCCGAGTGAAGATTTCTGCAGACAGCCCTAAATATCTTGCATTTGTCTGCGCGCAGAGACTAGCGTAAGTTGCGAACATGTTAACATCCAAGTGCACAAGAATCAAGGTTTACTCTCTGCACCCGAAAATTACAAAGAGAGGATCAGCTTGAATTATGATTCTTGTCCAGTTAAGCACAGTAGTACTCATATTAGGAGAACATCGGTGTGACGAATAAATAAATACAGGGCAAATTCCTGGGGTTGTTATGAGTATCGAATTCCGTTAGTTCAAAATGTTATTACAGCCATACCCATAATGACTAAAAACACAGTGGCAACACAAACAGATTATTCAATGTTAGACATGTGAGATCGTGGTTGGAATATCAACATCTTTATAAAGAATGAAATACACTGTTTTTACTTATCAATAACCGCCAAACTAGAATTAGTGAACGGACTATGGTACAGTAATCCGTTTACCTAACAACTGCATTAAGTCCATTCACTGATACAAAGATGCTGGAAAGATATCAGTAACAACTATTTAACAAAAATAATGCTATTAGGTGTCTTTATTCTTCTGTCGGATATTGTCGCCGACTCTTGATTTCCGTTGCGCACTGCGGAACGCACACAATACAGCCACAAAGGGGGTCACACAATGATGATACAGGTGACACCAATCAAGATAAACTGTTTAACACATTATCTTCTTCAAAGTAAGATAAGAGAATGATTCGAAGCACTTTTATAGTGATCACTTCTTTCACACAGAGAAACTCATAGCCCAAGAGAATCTAACGATAGATCTTTAGACAAAATATATTTGGACGTCCCAAAATCAATGAGAAACTGAGTAAAGAGATTGAATACATAGAAAAAATTCATGTATGTCATGTGAGTTCATAACACGTGAAAGTGATTTTTATCCTAAGAGGACTACCCGAATACATAGACAAATAAAGATAGACTGATAATTGTATGAAGTGAAAATATAAACACGAATTGCTAGGCACATATGCCATCTTTAGAGTGGAGAAACACTGGTGCATTTCTGGGTATCATGAACCATGGGAAACATGTACAAAACATTTCTCATCAGTACACGAATACCACCTCACACAAAATGTTCAAAATAAAACCACACATAACAAAAACACAAGTAGCTGTTTCAAAGATTCAAAAGAAAAACTTAGGTTTTGAGAGGAAGTGAGATATTTAGTCTCACAAATTAGTCATTGGTTAAGGGGTGAGATAACCCATATCGATGTCATTAAATGTTCACACACCAATCTATATATATTTGTATGTCCTGCTGTATAAAGTACTTCCCCCATCTATAATGCGACATAATCTTCTGTGCGCAATCACACTTATGTCCGGTATCTTGTTTTTGTATGTATCGGTTTCAAATAAACTTTACTATTAATTGATTGATACTCACGTTACATTTGATGCTGAAATAAATGTTACTAACGTCGTTCGTTTCTTTGCCTTATGAATAATGGCCTGCGACCAGAGATCACAGTAGTTTAGTGATGCCCTTTCTGGGACTCCAACACTACACGAAATAACTGGTCAAGGTTACGCCAAAGGATATTGCTATATTAATACCACTCTCAATGCCATCGATTCTGAACGCTCCGGTGGACATATAGTAACCGAGTGATATATATCTGTGGTGGTTGCTCAAGGGGAACCCTAAGTATCAATCATCACATGACTGCTGTTAACTTTGTTCTGAATGTAATTTTACCTTCTCCTCAACTTGCATACTTCATTACAGCCTTGCTTATTAATACATGACTTTGGATGGTATCCTTTACTTCTCAAGTCTTGATTAGGTTCTCGTACGAATCAACAACAAATCTTGTGAGCCCTGTCCTTACACTGAATATTATAATTTTAAGTCCATTCCTCGGTATTTTGAAGCCTGCTACCGTAAGTGATTCCTTTGCATAACTTAGTGAATTTATTGGAATCTCGATTAAATGCCTGTAACTCAATGGATGTAACATAATTTAGTAAACTTAACCCGCGTGTTCGATTAATACAAATTGAGGGCCAGCGTCATTTTGAAAGGCTTCGAAAAATTCTTTTATGCCGAGAACCCTCATAACAGATGTCTTATCAGAGATACCTGATGTTATAGACAATTTTCAAGTACCTGAAGCCTATGATAGGCTGAAGTAGTTTGTCAAACCTACCTCAGCATGAATGAACGCGAGTTAGGGGACACTCTCCGCTTCAATCGATATGGCGGATGAAACAATTATTTGAACCTTATAACGTGGACAATGCTTTCCTGGAAATTTTGATGTGATACCAGCAAGGTGAATTCCCTGCACATTTATTCAGCCACTAGGCTCGAGAACTTGACTAATATTGCAAGTAAAATTTAGTGTTACAGCCAGTCTTACGCCGTACGTGCAAGCACTACTCGATACAAAGAATCACCCAGTGAATTCTGGCGGTTCCACCCTCGCTGCTGAAGTACCAGAGTCATGGTATTATTACACTGATAGCACAGCAAAGATCACGAAAAAATTAGATTTACAGACAACTAATTCTCAACGAGCTATACAACGTCCGACAAACTGTTTGGAAGAAAAATCCATCTAAAATCACCATGAGAGGCGTGAGTATACGATGTGACTTATGGTAATTTTGCAAAATAACAACACTTTGTTTGAAATACGGCAATAAACGTCTAAATTCTAAGATTTTTCTCCCTGTAGTGTTTGAATGAACTTCATTTAGCACGGATGAGACCCACAATCCATTTTTCTGGCGACAAAAACCGAAATGTCAGACCAAGGTGGTCTATAATTCGTCAAGAAATGAAAAAAAAACACCAATTCACACTACATATCGAATGGTAACCTGAACTGTCGATTCGTTTAACTTATGAACCACTAAGTACTGGTTCACTCTAGTTGTTGATGGAACAGTTAGATCAGTTGATTGTATTATGTAGTCGATACACTGTCATGTCCTTGTAGCCTGAACGATTAGATCCACATTCTCTACCATAACATAGGGAGATAATGTTTAAAGAAATTGTCTGTCTAGTGTAGCAATATAGCAGAACCGACTTTGAGGTTCAAAAGCTGCTATCCAGCCAACTACAAAACGGTCTATGTAGACCAAGTGTTTTTGACATGCTCCTGAACAGCTCAACCTTGTAAGGCAGTTACGACTTACCTACTGTATCACCTCTAATTTCCAACTCGCCAGAACAGATAGGTTGTCAAGGACATTACGATAAGTCTTAGCTCTTAAGTTTAGAACGTGACCAGTTGTCATTTAAAGTGAGAGCAATGGACTTATTCCAAGTCATCAAAGGTATGTCCGACTACTTGTTTACTGTCAATAGAGTGTAGATCTCTCGGCTGCTTCATTTCCTTGTAAACATGCAGTTCGATTTCATCCTCAATGTGTGCTGCTTATAGTAAGGATTATGATACGAGTAAGTTATTCGTAGTGTCTGATCACCAACGCTTGGCAACGAATCGTGGCTCAGGCACTGATACCGAATGATGTGAGGCATGTATTCCGTATTTTCCTTCAGTTGGATATCCTTAGGTAACATAAAATTAACGATCAATACATTTAGCAGAAAAGATTGCCTCACCGGAGAAGCATTAACAAGCGATATTTAGCAAACATGATCCCCTACCAGTTTGTAAGCAGATATGGAATCCATGTGCTTCGAACTTTGGATCTAACTAGTCCTATTTTCAAGTTGGACACTTAAAACCGAAATAGTCGACTAATATACGTTGCGAAAATAACCCTTAGACTTTTTGTTTGTATTCGATAGTACGAACATTTCAAAAAACCCGAATTACGACCTTTTTTATTTCTAGCTGTTATATGTATGACCGTTCATTGGATAGCAGTAAAGTCCACAATTCAGGTGTGAAGTAGTCGTTTACTCATTAAGAGGATATTAACACATAAGTCAATTATCTCAACCAAAATAGAATAAAGCATAGGTAATCTGTACAAAAAAATCATTTGAAGGAAAATATGGAATCTCTCACTCCAGATATATATTACAAAGAAATTCATTCATCAATTGCAAATTGTTTGTATATGGATGACCAAATATGTTGTTTTACAAAGTCCTCCAATGATGCCAATTCAGTGATACCAAAACGACACGGTAAATTCAAGTACGGATCACAACAACACATAAACTCGCCATTTCTAATAATAACAACAATAATAATAAGAGTAGAAGAAATCCCTTGGATTAATAACTTAAATATATCTAAATCTAATTTTTGATAAATTGACCAGTACACATTTAAAGGTTGTATTAACGTAACATACCGCTCCACAGTTATTTTTAATCAGAAATATCAAATCTTCCCACCATCTCAAAATCAAAAATATGTAAGCCATTTTAACAATTTCATCACATACTGAATTGTTGATGAGTTAAAAATGGCTGAAAAAACGGTACGCCCTCAATCTGGTCGATATACATATACCTCTAAACATTAAATAAGTTACCTAAATAAACTTTCCTAAAGTAAGAAATAAAGACATGGAGGGCAGGAGTCTTTTATTTCGAATGACCTTAGAAATAAAGTGGTTAATATTGACATGAAATCAGAGGCATACTCCCAGGTTATCAATGTGGTCTAACATTGATCGGTTCATGATTTCAATGAAAATCAACAATTTCCATAACCATATACCGATAACGGTTATAATTGAACTAACAAAAATGCGCACATATACACAGATACAGATTGATAACTTTTACTGGTAAAACCAAATCCATAGTGATTGGTTCTGTTCAGAAAATATTTATATAAATTCATGTCTTGTACTGATTGTTATTGTAAGTACTGTGTTTGCAAGTTTTTTCTGCAGTTTAAAGAACACAGTTCACTGGAAAAACTAATCTCTTGTTTTTGTGAATATACCAAACAATAAATCTCTTGAAAAACTATCGACTATCTAAAACAAAAGTCAGAGGGAAAAACAAAAACAAGAATTGCAATAAATTGGTCAAAGTAATTTATTCCTTTTAAACATTTTTGGTATCCACCTTAAACAACTCTACGTATTCATAAACATTGTTAGTGATCATATGATATTTTATTTTGAACAAAATGAGTAAAAATTATTTCTGAGTGTATCAAAGTGGTTATGAGACTTGAAAGTCGATTTTTTGATTCCACGTATGGGATCTGTTATATCCTAGCGAAGACTAAATTACGAGTAACTTCTGAGACTTATTCATGGCCTAATATTATCTACATATTCTTATGGTATAACTATTTAGTAATTGGATTATGTATATCTATTTTCCTCTTATTATAAGCTTCATTTTGACCTATAGATTTTTATTGTACGATTTACTGTTCTTAAGTTATGTTCAGTTTATTGATTACAGTCTCGCACGTTCACAGCCACTTTGGGCTTTATTTTGCATAAATGTTATTTCCTATTTTATATTACGATGAGGTCTGTTTTGCTGGCATATAAACTAAGCATGTTTTGAAATAAATGATTCGTACAGCAGAAGCTGTTATTGGTGTTCCGGACTCAACTGGACGGACTAGGCGAGCAAAGGACCAATAAAGACGCTAGGATGATCAGACCGGTTGAACGTCATTGGTTTAGTACAGTACAAGAGTGAATAAGTCGTATTTCGATTGGTGGATAAATTACGTGATAACTAGCTGAACTTACAGTCACAATAGGGTACTGAGTACTCACGGAACTGTGAGACTGGACTAGGCAAAACATGTTCATACCATAGTTTCCAATGTTAATCATCTAATGAAAGTCTGTAAGTAAACCAGTCTTCGAACTGAACAAATTCTTACAGATCATTAAAATAAATCACAGTTGCGTGTTTGCTAGTGGCTGAATATGAGAAGAAAAGTTGTGACTACTAATTTATATGTGGTGGTGAAATTAAAATATGATTGTTCGTTGAGCATGAACAAACAAGCAATTAGGCTATTGACTACTGAATATCTGGTTTACTTTCCTGTTATTGATATCTACTCCGGACTCACTATGTGACAGTTTTTATAATTGTGTTGAATTAGTTACTATCTAGTGTTAATATGGTCAACTAATCTAGGTCGTGAATTCTGGATCTGATATAGCGTGAGTTGTATTATTACCATGATGTACCTGAGAGTGGGAAGAATATTTTAAACCATCCGTCATACCATAAACGGAGACTAACCATATAGGGAGTGGATAAATTATCAACAGTAGCAATTGCACTTTGTTCTATGGTCGATACCTAGAACTGTGTTCAAACTATATCATTCTCTTAAAGGAACACCTAGATAAAAACCATTCATCTATTTCTGGCTGGATTACAACATTTGATCGGAAGAATGCTACATTCAAATTTTGATTAGAATGATAATCTACCGATTTATCCAAAGAGATAGAAAAAAACATTCGTACACGCTCACAAGTAGTGGAAAGAAATTTATTGAGTAGCTAGGATACGAAGCTTAAAACACAATGTTGACATTATATTCAATTTACTTGGACCAGTTAACCCTTGTGGAGTATAGGCCACCCGCCCGGAATCTCTGGTTAACTCTGTCTTGGCAATCCTTTCCTGTTGCTCCCACTTGCTATTCATTCAATTACCGATGCAATATGTTCTTTGTTCTGCCTCCTTTGCTTTCGCCTTCACGATTACAAGTTGTGATTTGCCTAGAGATGCAGTCTGATGATTTCCAAAGGATATATCCTACCTACCTTCAGTGTCCTTACCTAAACTCCTCTGCAATTTACAGCTGGTTTGTTGGCTGCAGCAGTAGGATCCATCCAACGGATCTGGTGTATTTTGCATAGACAACTGTTTAAAATACCTTTAACTTTATGATGATGGTTGTAGTAATTCACCACATCCCATCTACTTACGACAGATTTGTCTTGATGTTTGTATTAGAGATCCTGCCTTTGATGTTGGCTGGCAGTTGTTTTGAGAACCGTATGTTATTCAACCATGAAAATGCAGTCCTTGGTTTGGCAATCCGTGTTCCAACTTCTGCACCAAAGCCTCCTTATTTATCGATGATACTGCCCAAGTACGTAGAACTGTACACACCTTCCAGAGCTTCTCCAGCAAGTCAGATTGCGTTGGTGTTCTCTGTATTGTACTTTAATATCTGCTTTTCAACTTGAGTATAATGAGTCTTTCTGATGCAGAGGCTAGTGCTACAGTGGTCGTCTTCACTTGCATTTTTTGATGTGTATGGGATAGAAGAGCTAGGTCATCTGTAAAGCACAAATCGTCTAGCTGCATCCGAGTTCTCAATTGTATTCAGTGCTTCTCCTCAAATGTGGACGCCAACCACCGGAACGAAGAGAAAGGAGGAGAGTGAGCAGCCTCGTCTGACGCCGGTCCTCACTTGGAATGCAACTGTCAGCTGCACCAATGCACCACTTCGCAGTGTGCCGTCGTACGAATTCCGTATGACGATGCCAATCATCTCGGACACACCATAGTGTAGAAGAATGCTTTTTAAGCTTCTCTCATCCACACAACCAAATGTCATCTCATGTACAGTGATGAGTTCCATTCAACTGACCACTCAACAATGATCCGGAGTGTCGCAATTTTATCGACGCATGGATAGACCACGTACGAAAGCCAGTTTGTTGGTCTCGAAGTTGGGCGTTTGCCAACTCTTTCATTTGGATCAGCAACACTGTCAAAAAATTTACCTGGTATTGATAGTAATGTAATGTCTCTGCAGTCCTCATACTTACTGAGATCTCCTTTCTTTGGTATCTTGATGAGATATCCCGCTTTACAGTCTGTTGATACTTGTTCCTACTCCCAAATCCTTCTGAGTAGAACGTGGAGTATCTTTACAGTCACCTCTATGTCTGACTTCAGCTGGTATTTTGTCTGGTTCTGCTGTTTTCCCACTCTTGGTTTTTCTGATGGCCATGCTGATTTCTTGGATCGTTGGTGGGGTAACACTTATGGAGAGGTTTCATATTTTCTTCTCTTACAGCTATTTCCGCTGTCAATGCTAGGTCTCCCACGTATTTCTGCTTATCAGGTTCAATGCTGCTCTTCACTCTCTTGCATGCTTCTGTGAATCTATTTTGTGCCTTAACTTTCTGTGCTCAAGTCCTTCATCACAATGGTCAGATCCTTTCCTGGACACTCCTCTACGATCGATTGTGGCCTCTCATAAACTGGTTTTTATCATATTTGTTGCTATCAATAGTAGACGTATAAAATTTATTGTAATCACCACCTTCATTGTTTTGAAGAATGGTGATGATTCTGGATCCATGAGATGATTATCCTATAAGTGCTCTTCTGAACGCATAATTTCAGCTCTGCGTATGTGAGGCACTTTCTTCTTCATGACCATAGTAAAATGGCATCTCTCCCGAAGCTAATCTTTTATGTACAGCTTAAGTCCGATGGATCTCACTTATTTCAAGCACCACCAAGTTATATCTCATTTCCGCAGCCATTTGATTTGTCTCCCCTGTCTCCCACATTTTCCGAACACTCCACGTATGTATATTAATTGTTGCTGTGGTTGTTAGATGAGACGTCAGCCTCGTGACTTCCGAAGAGTCTCGGCTTTCACCATGAGGTGTCATAATTCTTCCGAATGAAGATCCTTCAGCTCGGAGGGTAGAGTCTAAGTGGTTTAATTTGTTTATTCGGGTTAGCGTTTTTTACGAAGTTTGTTTTCTACGGGATGGGGTTTCTGACCCCATGCCCATACCTCTTTCTTTTTCCCGGGCTTGGGACCGGCAGTAACCCCAGAAGGGCTACAGGAGGCGTTAGTATTGTATGGCACATATGATTATCACAAGGGTTGTGTGCTTGAATGTGTTTAAGTACTTCGATTCACTTAGCTGATTTTGTGACGTTTTGTTTGAGACTTCGGGACGCGAGGGCTTATGTAGGCTTTAATTAGAGTGATAAGTGGTGATACAATTAGTGGCTTATCATTAGCGGTGTAGACATAAAAGTACAAGGACTAAAATGCTTAACTTGATAGCTATATGCCTCTCAATTGTATGATATAATCATACAAATAAACAATAACAAATATACGAACACTAAAGAGTTTGATCTATTTTGGTCTTTAAAATAAATGGAAAGATTCGAACAACCAATAAAAACGAGTTAAACTTCGCCTTATTGGACAAGCAAGCGACTCAGTAGCTGGGTGGACAACGAGTTGGCGTTTGAAGCGAAAGCTACTGGGTTTGAGTCCCGGAATGAATAATAACTATAGGATTCAGGTATATCCAACTGAGTCGCAAAATAGAACATGCATCCTAGCCCCCACTGCTAGTAACCATCGATCTCTGTTTAAAATGGTTATGGCTTAATGGAAACATCGAGGCAATCCACACAGGATGTACATAACCCAAAAGAGACTGATCAACGGTAGTCTCAAACATCAATAGGAAGATCCAAGCAAACAATACAAATAAATTACAAATGTCTAAATGTTGACGAGAGAAAAACTAAATATATTACCAATCCATTTGGTGTTATTTCTAAAGAGTAACAAAACATAAATATTAAAGATTCCCATTGTGAAAATGATAACAACACATATCAATACTTCAACTTTGTATGGTTCTTAGAAAATATATCACTTAGGATTGTTCAAGATAATAAAACGCACAAAAGTATCAACTTACTCCGTTTTTGAGTCTTTAAATAAAGTTACTTGTACAACAGTCTCATAAGCCTGTGTCATAAACAATAGAGCTTCGTAGCAGAAATCCAAATCAGTAGAAGAGAGCAGATTTTTATTATCAATCTTTGAGATTGAATGAATAGGTGGAATATACTTAGGATCCATAAATAATATAGATTTCAGTGGTAAAGTTTTGCCGCCTATTCCATAGACTAAAATACAATAATAAAAAAGGTGTAATATAAAAAGTAAGTAATTGAAATCTACATCAGCATAAAAGTGCCACTTTTTTATGAGAAAAGGCTTGTTCGTTTAAATGTTGTACATATCTTTCTCTGAAATTGGTGCCTGATTTCTTTTTATAAAACGATATCCGGCTGTGATTTCATAGCTTAAAGGATGTTTATCTATCAAGTTGGAATATACTAGTTACGCCATGATTCTTATGTAAACTAAAGTAGTTAGTCAACATACACACGTACATAGCAGACGATTCTAGATAACTCAGACACTTAAAATGACAAATTTAGCGAAATATACACTATCATTCATTAAATAAACGGAAAAATGACCCAAAGTGATATGTATGGGAAAAGTAGCGAACATCGAAAACGTAGCGAATACCACCCGCCACATTAGTCTCGTGGTTTACACATCATGGGGTAATTCCGGTAAAAAGATGTTAGTATATTTATAATCTGCAGACAAGATCCTGGAGTCTTCATCACTTAATCTGCTAACACTGCTTCACTAAAAACAGGCGAATCATCGTGTTCCAACATAATCCTAGGTGGAATATGCTCTAATTCAATCTATATTTTGCTAACAAATACAATCAGAAAAATAAACTTATGGAAATATATCACTGCTTTTGACTGCGCATTATTTCAACTTGGTACGCGTCCTGCAATTGTGAGTGCAGAATTTACATAAATAAACTTGGAAGTGACTTGTCTGTCTGTTTGTGTCACAGAATAATCCCATAGACTATTTGGTTTTTGAATCTAAAACAAACATAAAAATGTTAATATTACATTGAAACAATGTTGGCAGTGGTTTATTGTTCGATTACTTTTCTTATGTTGCCCAAACATCAAGTAAAAGTTTCTAACTACTTAGCTTGTAAGCATATATTTGTATATTTGGTAAAACTAGTGATATTCACAAGTTGATCAAATTGAAATACATGAAGCAATGTTCAAAACTACAACCTATTTGGTTGAAATTCAAATACTTTAACAATTGAGATCACTTCGTTTTACATCAGATGATAAAATATCATAGTTATATCGACTAAATATGTAAGATAATCTTAATCAACCAGATTAATTCTGTAAACTAGTGTGAATTTAGTAATTTTTCTTTTCAAAAATTCACTTAATCAACAATTCACTCACTTGGATTCATTCTAATAAATTTCCACATAGAATGCCAAGGTTCATAGAAAATTGAAGAAGGCAAAGGTGTGAAAACAACATTTGATTTAGATACATTATTGGCTAGAAGAAATTCACAATAATAAGTAAATTAGTTGTGATATTTAATTAAAATACAACAGTCAGTATTACACTTGTAGATAACACGGGTACAGCTAATAATAGCAAAAACAGTCAACTAATGATAAGCTAACAATTCAAAAGATTGCATTGAACGGTAATGTTGGATAATATGGAACGTTGAAGTACAACCAAGTTATTTTTCACTACGGTAAGTGAAGTCAACTTTAAAATCACGAAAAACAAAAGAACACTAATTAGCTAATTCAATCTAAATTGGGATTTCCTGGAATTTTCTAACATGAACTGAAAAAGAATAAATTATTCCAATTTTTACTGGATGCATAATTGTGAATCACAAACTGGGACGAAACATCTACATAACGATTCATCAACTAGCTGATGTGAATCAATGTGTGAAGTCAACTAATTGTTTCGTTCATTTCATTGTTATCAATTATTCATTAATTGCCTTGATTAGTTTATATTTTTCATACACGACCTAAATATGGTCATTCGCTTAACCTCACCTAGTTAATGTGCGGAACCGGTGTATCTGGATATTTGACTGCTAATTCTCGTGGCCTCATAGGAATAGGTACTGAATTAAGTTCAAAAGAACAGAATCTCCTAGATTGAACTCTAATAGACAGTTGCTTGTGCGTTCTTCTGTATACAGGTTAATGAGACACAGAATATGTCAATGGCAATGAGACTCTAAAATTCTAATTAAGACTTATCTATCGTGATGACCTAGTAGAACTATACTGGCTATAAAAGTTCTGGTCGTGGATAAGCACTGAAGATTAGTTCCATAAACAGAACGAAACATCTGTTCTATCGTTCCTGATTTCCAACTGTTGCACGACTTGGGTCGACTGATGATTTCAATTCTATTCCGAGTTCCTAAACTGAAACAAAGCTGTCTAACCAGTTTCCCTCAATGTTCAATGGTTCTTCGGTTGATGTCAGTCTTCAACTTTAATTTTATTGAGATGGTTTAGTCAATATTGATTTATAATAAACCGAGGAATATTTTTCTACATCATCTCATTAAAATTATTCCCAGGAAAAATTTAACCGAAAGAAAGATTAATAAACCTACATAAATTCACATGATCATGAAGTGGTTGCACTTTTGTTACAGTATGGGGATTTATTGGCTTCGAATCGGATGAACGAAGTGAGTGTAATTTCAACTCTAAATAGGACTCTATAAGATCCTAAAACAAGCATTAAACAATATTCAGTAGAAAACTTCGTTAATCTATGAAACAGAAAGCTATGTGAAAATACAAGTAAACATCATTACCAATTTAATATCTGATTTTGTATTGTATAATGATAATCATATTTCAATTAACATAAAAAGCAGCTATATAGTTTTCTTCTTTTAATCAAAAACGTTATAAGAACCTTTTTCAGATGAAATATTTATTTTATATTATTAACGGGAAAAATAAATTTAGGCAATGTAATCAGATATTTTGTTCACCACCACTATATTTAGACATAAATGTAACATTTTTTCAGGTATTTTGCTATCTTTGGTGCTGAATAAGAGAATACTCAGTGTCAGTTTGTAGGGGAAAACTTTATTAAGCCACTTTGTTATATATAATGACTGCAAACACAACTGGTTACTTGCCGTGGCGCAGGTGTATCCATTCTTTGTCTTCTCCCAGATTATAAGCTTCTGAATTCTTCATAATTTGTTTTTATCTCACTAATTTTCTCAAGTTATATCTTCGAACCTTAACCTTTTCTACTAACACTGATACTGTTGCTGTCTCTACTACTCTGGGATTTCCCCTAACAATTTCATCTCGTTGTGCTAATGTGGTATGACAGCTTGGTTCTACGATGAGACTGACTGACTTTTGTATAACTGAACAAGGACTAATTTGGCTCGATGCAAGAAAGAAACTTAAGATAATAGATAAGAATTGATTTAAGCACTAACGATAGATCCACTACAGCTCCGACTACTGATTAAGAAATTATATTAACATTACAATATTATTTACGATTTACTTAACTGGTCAACAAGCCAAATTTGAAAAGACCGAACTAGAAGTAGTAGGCACTAATTAATCAATAATTTAGTGAGTGTACATAATTTATGTTAATAGATTAATTGCTTTAACCAATAAATTTAACTAAATTACTGAGTTACATTTCTGGTTCTTTCTAACTAAAACCAGAGTCAGCAAGAAGATATCAGAGGACAAGGATAAACATGTTCAGAACTCAAAAAAAGTGAAAATTAATCCCACTCGCCTTTGAGCTGCCAACTTTTTCAGAAGCAACCAAAGGTAATTAACAAAACAAGTGATATATTTCTGAGACTTTATTTTATGAAACTAAGTGAATATGACATCTAGCACGGGACATAACGCCATACTGAGTTGATGGAATGCCTCGTAACTACAGAGAAAAAATAGATAAGATGGAATTTTAGACGATAACATTCACATAAAAATCCACGGAACTGAACCAGATTACTTCATATTACTTAGTTTGTACGATCAAATTGTTTGTTTAGTGTATAATCTATAAGTATCAAGCTAACAGTTCGCTTACTTGCTATCTATTTTGTAGCAAATGTTAGACCAGTTACATCAGACTGCAAGTTTATATGGATAATTGTTCAATTCTGTGGTTTGTGAGGATTAGGTCAATTCGAAAGGAGCTATCGTATCCCAGTAATTTTTGAACTAAGAACTCACGTACATTACCCCACACAAGACTGAAGTCGAAACCCTGTATGTATCGAGGTGAGGATGATACTTTTAGACCACGGAGCAACGACCTAATGGTTTACATTCTCGAATTCAGTGAACTTTTGACAAAGCGCAACGACTGCCTTACTCGATCGATGATGACTGTGCCTCATTATAGATATGATTAAACTCCACTGGTTGTGACTTCCTACTAGATCATAGGACTCTATTTCCAGAGTAGTCGGTAGTAAGGATATGATTATGGGCAAGTTATATGCTTATCGTCTAATCCACTTGAGTTCTAGGGTTTGTCGAAATGTTGCTCATTTTAATAAAATTTATGGCCAATTACGTGGTAGGAAGTGAGGAAATCTAGTTTTTGCACATGAATAAATGATCTGACAGTTAAGATCGACTCTGAGCCATGTTATTCAAGTATTTAACCAGAGGTTACAGAAATCGCAGACCCCAACCAGGTAGTCTGCATCTACCGATACGTCTCACGTTTTGGTCTGGAGCCCCCTACCCTTACTTCAACTTACAACCACAATAAACAACGTTGTCCGTCGAGGCACATGGTGTTTGTCCATACATAATACACGCCACATAAATCGATAAACATTCAGTCTTGTCAACCTTATCTGGTGCCCTACATCTAAACTCAGCGTTATTCACTCAGTGATCCCAAAATACGTGAGCAATACTTTGAACACATGATGAGATACCGGTAACCTATGAATGTTCTTTACTTTTTTAGTGTTTAACAGCAACAAAGCGAACTAATTAGCGGTGTGATCATTCTTTGGTTGGCAGACGGACATCTCGACCACGCTACAGGTGGCTCAGACTGGCAAAAGTCAAGCGAACTTTCTGAACCAAATATACTTAGCAAAATAATGTAGAATTATCACTCTTATTCCCCAAAACCCATGCAGTAACCTACGTAGTTCAAAATTTTACTCAGTGACTTCACAGACTGCTATCAGGTCACTTATTTAATAACGTGCCACTACAACACCTAAAAATATGACTTCTAGTTATGTATACCTAAAATGACTCATTATCCTTAGTTGGGATGCTCAAATTTGCTACCGAAGTCACGACGCCTTAGATTAGAACAAGAAGTAACCGTTGTACTAACTTTCACAATGAATAGACGAATCCCCTGATACTTCATTCTTCAGTAGAACACTGGACCCTAGATACAATCAAAGTTCGCAACCAGTGACTCCTCGATTTCAAAACAGATTCGCAACGTGAAGTGTAAATAAGTTATGCTAAGATCCCTACAGTGTAACTTACTATAGCTATTGTTTATCTTCGAGAAGTTATTAACTAAGATGCTCAAGAACACTTCCATAACTTCTACATAGTCCCATCCCTTAGCTTGAATCAATACCGACTTTATAACCATGTAACATTCACATCGACACTAAACATTATTTCGACACAAAGATTCTCATTTTTGAATATAAATCTGACGTCCGATTTAGAGATTTATTCGTACTGAACCAAACCACCTAAAGGAGGACAGCGGATCATGAGGAGTAGGAAGAATAGCATATAATAAGAGGGATAGGAATGTATGTGATAAAGAAAAGAGGTGCATTGACTATACTGGGGAAACCAAGCGGTACTGATTAAAAGTGAAAATTAACACGCTGACCTGGAAATTTTATTGTTTTGCACATATAGTAGGATTCTCAGAGAGTAAATACATGCGCAACAAGCAGCATTAAGATCAAGATGAACGATCACGAATAGACAGACAAAATTTACACATATACTCAGATAAAGTGCAAAACAGACTGATTGAATACCATATTATTTATTACGAACAGTGAACAGGCAGTGTAAAAGTATGAAAGTCAATAAACGTAACTATAAAAGACTGAAGATGAGGAAAACAATTGTTGGTAACGTTGATATCCTAACGCAAGAAATGTTTTATGTTCAACAGCAGTGATGCAACTACTCAGATAAAGATGACAAAATAATAAACCTGTGTCGAATAAAAATTAGAATATAAAAGACTAGAGACAATGTTTTTTAGTTAATGTATGTACATATATCTTTATGTCAGTATACAAAAGAGTAACAGACAAACAGATGCTCAAGTAATTTTATTCACATAAATCACGAATTAGAATAGCTGTTTGAAAAGTTACATTAGGGCTAAACCACAAGAAAGAAATAATGAGTCAAAAGAATGTCACAATATCTGATGGAAAGATAAATGAATGAGATCGATCCAAATGCGAACATGAAAATATCAACAAACTGGTTAGATTGCCAGGATCGTTCTCAGTCTTGACATCTGGGAGTAAAATTCCTTTTATTTACTATGTACACGGACAAAGGTGATCAGAAATAGGTAACCTATCCGACCCCGATTAGGATAGTTATTTTTTACAATAAGGGCAATAATAAGTTTCTACATTTGCTTCACTGGGCTTTAATCCCACACACACTTGATGATACCATAGAGTACAACGATCACATTGAATCCAATCTATTGCTATATCTTGAGGCTGCTTGCATGGTCTAGCTGAACACTCCTCACTGTCATAATGAAACATATCACCCCCACCAGCATCATCTTCCGCATCGAAACCTCCAGATTTGCTGGATTTTCCAGAGCGGCGTTTTTCTTTATTATGTATATGACCGGGTTTTGTTCCACTAGATTTGCGTGAAACAGAATTAGAATGAGACTTTTTAACTCTATCCGTACCGTTTGAACGTTTTTTGATGGTTTTGGAACCTGCAGAACTTAATCGTTTGTTGCTCGAACTATCATCAGCATCATCATTGCTGTCTCCATCATCCTCTTCATCTACCTTATGACGATTTGAACTAGCAGGCTTTTTGAATTTTTGACGGTTAGCTGTGCGTTGTGCACTTGAAGTTGTATTACTTCTAGGTCGCTTGGCATCCGTGGACTCATCACTAGACCCAATAGAATCATCTTCCCCATCAGAACGTTGAGTAGAGGACACTGTTGAACCTGGCTGAGCGGGATAAGACTTGCGTTTTTTGGCTGTTCCAGTTACAACATTTTCCTTAGTTGGTGAATCACTTAGCTCCACCTAGTAAAGATAGAATACAGTTTAAAAAACTGGCATACGGGAGTACACTAGTAGGAAATATTAACTTACGAAATGAAGAGAACTATGTATCTAGTATATGTAGCATAAAATTTTGTTATCAACTGAAAGAGTAATCACTGATTATTAGCAACAGCACTTATAACTGTTTGTTAACGCTACTAATGACTTTAGTTTTCTAGAAAACTCAGACACAAAAGCGAGTAGTACAATTGTCCTTAAAACTGAATAAAACAGATACCACACTATTATATCTGCGATGCAGTATAATTCGCACTGTTGGTTGGCAGACAAAATACATTAAGAAAAGGCCGATCAGTCAGAAAGTAGAACCCGGCACGTATGTATAACACTTGCTATATCCCTTTAGCACAGAGATAAAATTGTCAGGTCTAATCCCAGAGTAGCATATACAGTGATACTGAGTGGTGTTTGAAGAGATTAGACATCGAAGATACGACTCAAGAAAATATAAATTGGTGAAATAAAAGTACAAATAATTATGGAGGATTCAAGAGCTAAGAGCTTGGAAGACAAAGAAAAGGTAGTTGACTTTTTTCGTTGATTTAGAAATAACTGTGTGAAGTAAAGAAAGTTTAATACAACACTTAACTAGTTAGAAAAAGAAGAAAAACCGACAGTCCAACTTTAAATTAAACATCATAAAAATCGATATTTAGGACGACTTGATTACTGGGACGGGACTACGCAGTTCGTCCTCAACCATAACAAGCGGTGACATACAGAGAGAGGACACCATGATTAGGATTGTAAGGCGGTAGCTTAATGATAGGTCGCAAACTCTAAACCGGCTGTTTAATCCGTCATATATTATCATTGGCTCCCACATACTGCCTTTAAAGATCAATACATGAAATCCGTACCCGTTAAATGGGCCACACTAACTATCGAGGGAAGTAATGTTGCTTACATATTACGGAATATACGAACCTAACAGAAGCAAAGTACAATAAGTCGGTCAAAGGGACGTTCAGCACGGAAAGCGTAATTTCAGACCATAATCAGACAATCTAAAAACTTTCAGTGAGTCACAAAGTCCTCGTACTAAGTGGAACTTTGGATAACTGATAATGGCAAGACCAAATTTTTTCTTCTAACTTTCTTAAAACACCAGTGCGTACCAGATGAAGCTACATTTGCACTAGTTCCAAGACTTGAGAAATATCATCAATATAGTAACTACTTACTGTTTGAACCATATGACCAGACTGATGTGCACAAACATTAAATCTATTCCCGATCGTATGATATGCACGTCGGTTTAAGCCTCATCCTTCAAGATAAAGTTTGAACGGTCATCTAGTACAGTGACTTGTAACAAGTGTGAGCTCAATGAACACGCTCACATTAATACGGCATTTCATCATCGCATGAAATTGAGGGTCTTTATTGAAAAATTGTCGCTACCAGATAGGTGTGGTCCAGAAAAGTGCATTATCAACACTAGCTTACGGGAAATCTTGAGATTCCAAAAGTAACTGCTCGAAATCACAATCACTTATTAGATCCGAAACTGGTATTTCTACCAGACATAATGTAATGCTTCGAGGCATTATGCATTGTAACTACCGTCATGATGATAACCGTATAACCTAATTCCAAGTTCAATTCCTAGTGACGTTGGTCATTTACTCATGTTTTTGGACTAAGCAATCGATAAAGTGGGTCAAAATTGTCACGGTCATTTAGTGAATCACTCAATTACGCCTTTATAGCTCACCTTTACCATCAAAACCAATACCCATTTTGAATACTCTTCTGCAGAACATATTCTCCACCTGTATCTTTTGAGAACGCTTCTATAACCGGATGGGACCGAAACTTGACCACCACTTTTCTGTTAGTGAAAAACCTAGATATTGGATTTAACTCAACAAAGCGACCGCTTATTCTAAAGCAGCGAGGACAGAAAGCACTTTATGGTAATCGTATATATTCGGATGACGTAACAAGCAGACGACTAAATTAAAAATGACACAAATAAAACTGTTGCTTTCGTACGAAGAACGAATGCAATGTATTAAAGGACTTACTCGATACTTCAGGTCGGAATAAAAGAGAGCTACTGGCTCCCCAGGCTTGAGGTTTGCCCCATTTAAATGCCCAAAACACACAATATCTCCATGTTTTAGCGTTACCCCACCCATAACTCTTGTGTAGTTGACGTAGGTCCCATTCATACTATGATCATAGAGAATTGAACCTCCTTTGGCCGAGCGTTCTATAGTTGCATGATTTCGTGATATCATTCGGCTGTTAATGCAGCTTTCGATTGGATAGTCAGGGGGGATTTTCGTGTTAATACGTCCAATGCGGATTTCTTTTTGGCCAGGCTTTAGTTCTATTTTTTTTGGGCGATATTGGTCGCTTGAAGAACTGACACACCCAGCTTGTTCACGTTTGTCTTGATCTAAATCGCCTATCCATCTTAGAGTGACGGTACTCATTATGGGATGAACATGTGAAGACCAATTCGCAGACCAGGACTGTGAAACTTAGTTTAAAACCATCCACTCAAAATGTCTGCGAATGGAATATCAGTAAGCTAATTCTAACAATGATCGATGTAGAATAGTTGGCGTTGCGAAGTTCAGGACCTCGTCTTTGGTTTTTGTACTTCAAATAATAACCGGATTATATTCTTGTCCAGAAAGGAATTTCAGCAAGTAATCGATAAGTTTTAACTTCTGCTTGTGTTGGCAGGAAATTGAGGACTGTTGGTTGACTTGCATCAGTCTCTTGGTTGTAAGAGAGGGAATTAAGTTGTGCTGAGCCATAATTCTGGTCACCAAAGACCCTGAAAGGCTGATTTATTTGTTACTAATCGAAAGAGCAATCAACAATTAACACTAGAATAGTGTCCTTCAATGCTGTTAGAACTAGACCAAGTAAGAGAAATTTCTTTAAAAGATTTAGAAAATGGTCTTATTGCTGTTTCGGAGGATAAGGAACTTCACGGCCTACGGACTTTATCTACGAGATAGGATCAGATGACTTACCTCCTGCTCTTTTTAGAGATGGTGGCAGAGTGAGGGCATACAACCACCTTTCTCTACTGTTCCATTCAAGCAGTGGGGTTAGACACGGTTGCCTAATCTCACCATTCCTCTCCAACTTTGCTGTCGATGACATTCTGTAAACAGCTCTGATGGATGCAAGTAATGGCGGTGTGGATCTGTTGCCTGGAGAAAGATTTCTCGACCTTGAGTATGCGGATGATATTGTCTTACTTTGCGATAACACCCAAGCCACGCAACCCGCACTTAATCAGTTGGCAATCAATGTCCGTAGGTGTGGTATGTGCTTTGCACCTTCGAAGTGCAAAGTACTTCTACAAGACTGGCAGGATTCTAATCTGTATTCACCCTGTATGGTGAGCAGATAGAAGTAGTCGATTAGTTCGTGTATCTGGGTAGCTGCATAAGTGCTGGTGGTGGCGTGAGTGATGAGAGCAATTCACCATCTTGAAACACCGAATTTGGTGGCTTGGACACATCTTATGAACTTCGTCACAGAGAATTCCACGTCGTGCGTTATTTGCCGACGCTGGGACTGGTTGGAAAAAGCGAAAAGGTGGTCAGTGTATGACATGGTATCGTGTTCTGAATGAAGGCTGTACAGGACTGGCTTCTGTTGGTCCCTCATGACTCCCTGGTTGTGGTCCTAGAGACGGTGCAACACAGTGGCTAGAGATGTTATCATATATGGCTCAGAACAGAAGCCAGTGGTGATCCTGTTGTAACCTCCTTTTACTTTCTTCATGAAAAGTGGTTGTAACTTTCTTAACTGAAAGAATTATTTCTAGTTGTACCTTTCCGTTTCCCCCACTATTATTATTACACTATCATACACTAATCTGTGGTCGTTATTGTTCTCTTTTTTTCTTACGCGCACCTTACGTTCTTTATCTCTTTCCATCCTCAGTGTTTTGTGTGGCGCACATATATCTGGTGACCCCTTGTACCAATATTTATGTGTTCAAATAAATAAATGGGAAAGTTTCGGATTTTTTAGTATCTATGTTGTTGTAGTTCATGATCACAACCTCTTCATTCTTCTGTGATTCACAGATTTTAAGTACTCTAAATATCTTTAAATAAATCATCCATCATACTACTTTGTGTCCCACAAAGCAATCCTAGACGGCATATGTATAATATTTCGAATTCTTTGAATTGTAGCACGAACTAAGAGTCCCAGAAATAACGCAACTGAATTAAGAAGTAAGACACAAGCACAAGCGAATGTATTGTATTTGGAATTCGAATTCGAGCATTCAACAAGTACAAAGGTATCATTAGTTCATTCAAACACCACATCCGCCACAGCTTAATTAGAAGTATAAGTGTTTGTAATCGGTTGTACGTCTTCTTGTTAAGTTCATCCTGAGTCTGTCCGACATTGTATAAGATAAAAACTTTGTAGTATCTAGAAAGTGCTCATTAGTATTGGAATTAACAAACGAAATCGGAACAGACTCACCTGGAATTGTATACAACCAGCATGTCGCTTTTGTAATGAAATCATTAATATCTAGAATTCGAACCATAGATTTTTCAACACTATCCTCCCCCACGAAATAATGTTGGATCTTTATATCCCCAAGTTATGAATAATGTGGCTTCATTTAAAACATATTTCTCACATTGTTTAGAGTAAACATTAGAACTGTTTTTGTGATAAGGGTAAACAGCAGTTGATATGAAATCATCCGAAATGTAATCAAACTCGAGGTCACTTAGTACTCGTGCTTCGCATTGAGCAGGTTTTTCACAAGGATCAAATGCATTATGAGGGTAGGTAATATATGATATGACATCAGGATTTGATTTTTCTGAAATATTCTCATGAAATTCATTAGGACTGTCATTGCAGAGCGTAGGATCGTTAGAAAAATCAGCATCTATCCAAACCACATCAGGTTTCCGATCATGATTAGGTTCATTTAACATATTTTCCTCAATATTGCAAGTAATTTCATTAGAAATATGTGAATCATTAGGAAAAGTCATACCTGGTACAATAGCATGAGAATTCTGATAAATCGGTTGATTAGGAACTGTTGTCTCACAGGAATTCTGGATTTCATTTAACTCTGAACTGCCATATGACTCTGCACTGTCTTTTGAAATCGTTGATAAAGATAAATGATCATCATGAATACTCGACTCAGTAGAATCAGAATTACAAGACTTAATATTAGTTGCAGTAAGGTGAACATTAGCATTACAAACTGACTGAACTTGTCCAATATCACGACATTTGAAGCACTTAGAATTACGAAATTGACATGAATTAGAAGAGTGGAACTTGCAACAGGACAAACAGTGACCAAACTTGTCCCCATCCTCGTGAACTGCATCCAAACTCAATGAATTGTCTGCATAACCTTGAGTATGCACTGGGTCAGGATGACGTAGTAATGTAGTGGTGTTTTTAATATCCTCATGAATCATTTTATGAGATCTTCCTCCTTTACCGCATTCGAAATTTGTATAATTAACATAGTCTAGCAGCAGTTCCTTGAGAGTTGTATAAGGAAGCGAGATAGGCTTTTCCGGCATAGTCAGAATTCTTAATAAGCTGTATGCTTCTCTCCCAATGAATGTGAGGAAGTGTGCCACAATATTAACATCCTCATCATCTTCCTTGGTCATAGCCCAGATTTCGAACCTTTCAAAGTAATCTTCAAAAGCTTCCGAAGTTGAATGAATATCTAACTTTTCCATTACAGGCTCCATCGCGACGCCAATATAATATTTCGAATTCTTTGAATTGTAGCACGAACTAAGAGTCCCAGAAATAACGCAATTGAATTAAGAAGTAAGACACAAGCACAAGCGAATGTATTGTATTTGGAATTCGAATTCGAGCATTCAACAAGTACAAAGGTATCATTAGTTCATTCAAACACCACAATATGCCTTGTTAACTGCTGTGGAAAGAGACAACTTGCACGTAGAATAATAATCCGTCCTCCTCATATAGTAAAAGCTTTAATGCTAGAACTCCTCAGAAGGCACACAGTCGATCTACGAATGCTCTTTATGACTGGCATCCCAGTTTGCCAGTGTTAGGCGTATGATTTTGGTGAACTATTTGTTTCTTCTGTCCTAGTAATTTTAAGAGCATGAATATCTGTAGGACCTTTAACACCCACCAAATTATAAAATTGTCTCTTTGATAAGTCAGTCGATCGAAGTTACTAAATGATTGGTTGATAAGCAAAAACTGACTCCCAGGGTGGGACTTAGATATGTTACACTGTGCATCATGAACAAATCAGTCAGATCAAAGCAAATTCCGACTGTTTTGGTCTTTACACGAGGTGGTTTTGTGGGCAGTCAACAAGGCGCCAACTAATACCCATTGATTTAAGTTTTGATCAAGACGTCTTGATGATAGGTTTATGACGAAACGCCTGGAGAAATCTAGGGAACTAAACTGTATGAGGTTATGTTGCGCTGACATGTATCACATTCACCAAATGGTTAGTATTCCACTATGCTCGAAGAAAATCTATGCTCGGATTCAGAAGGAGCAAAAATTTTCATTCGTTACTCTTGAACAGATACACCTGTACATTTTCCACTTATCTTTGCTATATGACGGTTGATTCACGCATTATGAGTTTTGTTCGACGTTACTTCCGTTTTGATTCCATGTGTTGATTATTCAGTCTAGTATTTGTTTTGTTTTCTCGTATTATATTTTAGTCTGTATTCAATTGGCATGAACTATGCTCAGCATGTGATTTGTTATAACTCCAAGTATTTTTCATATATATATATATATATATATATATATATATATATATATATATATATATATATATATTATTCACAAACATCTTATGGGTACATAAGTGTTGTGAAGAAACCATTTCGGGTTTCTTCAAAAAATGCAATAATACACAATTTTCAATAATGTCAGCATTATACTTGCCATTTAAAAAAAATTTAGAGCAATAATAGTAGAATATTAATAATAGTAAATCGCGTCTTTGCAATTGAGAAGAATATTGAATTGAGTTTAAAGAAGGAAATGGAGAAAATAAGGGAATAGAAATACAAGAGACGTGAAATACGCAAACAGTCTAATAGGCGTGTTTACGAACACAGAACAAAAATAAACGACTATGTGTGTGTCGTTAAATTAGTAACAAAAAATAATTAAGAAAAAATAACTTATAATTGCAGTAAGATATGACGCTAGAATAAATGTTTGTGCAGTTATAGTTTAGAGTGATGCTATGAAAGCTACAGTTAAATGAAAAGGATAATAAAATATCAATATGTATGAGTCATATATGCATAGTGAAGATAAAACGGGTCTGAGAATTTAATTTAAGTGTAACACAAGTGATTGTTTTAATTACTATGATTTCATCCTAATTATTAATCCGAATGGGTGTACAATCAATATATAAATGAATGTATTTTCGACT